CAAACTTGATTGCTCAGGAGTTTATCGCATCAAATGCGGCAACTGTGAGCAGAAGTATATCAGTGAAACATGAAGAAAAATCGGCCCACTAATAAAGAAACATCTAAGGTTCTACAGGAGCATGGATATGGAAAGATCCGAAATAGAGGGGCACATTGCACGAACGGGGCACGAAGTTGACCGAAAGGCTGGCTGCATATGGTCAAAATACAAGAAACGCAAGATCCGAGAGGCCATCAAAATACTGACCGAGAGAAATCTAATGAGCAGGAGACTTGAAGAAGGCAGGATCAGCGAAAACTTTGAATATTGCCTTAACAAACTCGAAAAAGACCAGGTAACAGCAAGATCAGCAAAAAGAAGACGACTTGATCAAGGTGATATCTTTAATTTTTAGGAAAAGAAATCGCATGGGGATGAGAAAGAAACAATCAGAAGCACAGAGGATACGTCTTCAGTGGTCTAATCAAAACAAGTAGAACCACGACAATTGTGGATTAGCACACAAGAGACTAGGGCGTAGGAAGCAATACACGTGGTATTATGGATATAAATAGGAAAGACAAGGTGGAGACTAAAGCTATTTGGCTAACAGTAGACGTATTTGATCATAGACGTGATCCTTGAATCACGACTATTCTTAGACAATTAGCTCTAGTTTACAATGCCTTTATCCTTTTTCTATCTATATTACCAGACTAGGTGCGTTCCTCTAAGTCTTCCTACCAATATGACCAAGTTGCAAAAACGGGGTCAAACAACCTCTATACAACGAAAGGAGACTGCGACGACGCAAAAGGCCACACTATCTTGGTCTTCATAACTTCAATTAATTAGCTCATGCCTCTCAGTTCAGTAAATTTCATCTAATTTCTGAATGGAGGCGTGAGAAAGTATTTCATTGACTGTGTTCGAATTAAACTTCCTCATTTGGTTGCCAAATCCGGTAGCTTATTCAAATCAAGTAGAACCATTACATTTGGGGGCTGGCAAGCAATAGAAAGTTATAGGAGCGCGAGCGGATCGTTGTTAGACATTTCTAATTGGCTATTAGTAGATAAGTTTGCTCATAGACGTTGTCCATGAAGTAAAGTTTGCCCACGAGATTTACTCGGTGCACATTCCGCACATCTTTAAGTGAATCTGCATCGTCAAGTTAGGTTGCCATGCCGATTGACAATCCAGAATTTAGGTGCTTGCTCAGTGAGGCTGGTGTATACGTGCTATCAAAGGCTTGAGGAAAAGTGTAGAGCAACGCCTTGAGCAGCAAGGATAAGGTGGCGGCGATCAAGTGAAATCCCTGAAACAGGAAGATAAGGACAGGATTTTATGAAGCAAGAGTGGACTCTGCTAGGAACCGAAGAGAGAGGATTGCGGATTAAACCGCAGCCTTGGATCAACACTTCCGGCACACTTGGAGGTATGTGGAAACCAGCGGGGAGTGTGAATAGATTTCAAATAGGTCTAGATAAACAAGTGAGAAATTGTGATATGAGGATATAGGATAAATAAATTGCTCTGGCCAGGAGAGATACTACGATTGTTTAGTATACAATTGGTTAAAGGATCGGCTTCACTTCTCTGTTTGACGCGTTGTGGTCCGGTTCTAAGAATGGCAAGGCTCATTGAAGATGCCGGCAAAAAATTTGGGAATATTCCAATTCAATGGTCCAACTCTGAAAATAATCATGCATACTATTAACTCCGAACTAGGTGTTTTCCGCTCATTCTTCCTATCAATATGACCACGTTGCGAAAACAAGGTCATACAACTTCTATATAACCAAAGGATACACCATCCTGGTCTTTATATCTTCGAATTATAATTGTTTGTTTTTCATATATAAGAACATCAGCTTATTGTAAGATGCTATTAATATTTTATAACGTTTTCAATGTTTATTCAACTATTGTTCTATATGCTATTATTCTATTATTTTTGCTCATCTTCAATGTTTTCATTATATCTTATAGGAAACGCTTTCCAATTTGATCTCGCTGATATTCTGCTTTGTCTTTGTTTACTTCATCACAGGCAACTGGTTGTAAGTCACACTTCATGTAATCAAACTACATCTATCTGTCCAATTTTTCTCAATATTTCTTTGAGTTATCTTATTTTCCACACATTTTTACAACTCTTTATATATCCTCTTTGTATGCCATCAAAACTATCTTTGCTGCCTTTAAAAACATTTGGTATATTTATTGCCTTGTTTATTGTTTTTTAGAATGAATGCCAAATGTATTTATGCTACCCTTGATTGAATAATAAACCCAAAAAGTATTTTTATCACCCTGACTTAAATTAAATTGGCTTTTACCCAATAACCCTTTATAAATCTCCCTAAAGTTTTAGAGCGTGGATGCATTCGAAGCCCAATTATGCTTTTTTTACTGATACTTCTATCCTTATAATCCATGCTTAAATTTAATAAATGGAAAAAAACACTCTTACTTGCAAATTGGGTCGAAATGGCGCATCCATAATCCTCTTGCCCTACAGTTTTTGTATCCTCTCGTATTTGTCTTTACTATTAAAGCAACTGTCGAAATTCCATACAATTTCACCCTGGCTATCTCATTGATGCTGATTCCATGCTGTCCGTTTCGCCAATAAAGCTATTTAGTGTAAAGAACGAAAAATGTGTAAAATGAAAAAAAAGACTTTTTTCTTTTTGTTTGAATAGCTCTTTTACCAAGCCTTATTTGCTGTTGACATTTGCATTCTATAAAGAAGCAACTTGCATTGCTTGTCACTAATATATAAATCTCTTGTCGAGCTGAACTCTACTTCCTGCCAAAGATTTGTAGATGTTAAGTACTAGTCATGGGATACTAATGATTATGATTGAATTAGACGTATCCGACGTTTATTGTATCCTTTGAGCACCATTTGTCACCTCACTACAGATTCCTTATGCATCCAAGCAAAAGTTGTTTTTATATTTACATTCAATTCCCAATTTCGAAACTGCGTAGTTGACAGACAGGGCAATGCATAATTTGTCTTCTGGCTTATATGTTGCTCTTGTTGTGCTTCTATAAAAAATGAAACGGATGATGCTAAACCGTAACTATGACTTATTTTATTAATGACTTAAAAAGACTTGATAGACCTACATCTGATCTGGTCTAAAGTGAACTTAAGAGTATTGATCAGTCTTAAGAATGGTTCACATAGTCCAAGCTTTTTAGTACTAAATATATATGGCATCGTCTTGGAGACAGCGTTCATTCAAGTAATCTATCTACCTATCTTTCTATTTATTCTATTTATTCTTTTTTCTAATAGCATCACTTTTCATAAAATATACTTATTTACGGATTTTTTTATTTTATTTTCAGCTTGATTTTGACGGCATACTTTTTATTAACAAGCATTCATCTTTATTGTAACTGGCGCTGCGTCACTTGTCTTCAGTTTCGCACCTTTAATCGTGCTCGCTTTCACTTGGTTTTTGGCCGATTTTTGCTGGAACGTTATTGTCTTAAGTATTATTCAGAATCTAAAAATTTTGCTCCACGACTAGCCAATGTTTCTTGGGCCAATCGAATGGAGCCTATCTTTTCCTGGCTACCTCAGTTGGATGCCTGGTCTCATGGCCTCGAATCCGGAAGTATTGTGTACAAGCTAACTGCTTCTGGGGCACAAAGGTCGATTGCGTTCGGTTGTGGACTTCGTGCTCTACCTCTTTGTGGGTCAGTGTTCTTATGATATTTCTACTTGTTTCTGCGTGTGCCTTATTTATTTTTATGTACACTTAAAATATTTGTTTCTTCAAAGCCCATACCTTCATCTGCATTTTTAGTCAGTTTCAGTTATAACTCTTTAATTTCATCCCCATCTACTTTATTATGTTTTTCGAATTAAGTATTGTTTTCGTGACTACCCATAAATCAGTATTCACCTAATTTCGTTAAAGGTGATGAAGGACTTGTAGAATAAGAATTTTCCCACAATGATATGAGTTGAGCTGACGTTTCTATTGAATTTCACATTACCTTGCTTTGTCAAAAGTTGTTCTCATCCAGGCACCAGTGGACTTTAGTTTCGATCTCAGTAAGGTCTGCTCACTTTATTGATGGAAAATTCTTCTTCTACCAGTACTTCATCACCTTAAACGAAATTGGGTAAATACATCTCATATTACTTTATTTTGATTATGCAAATTTACAATCTAAACTATTTAAATGTACGAAACTAAACATAGCCATTTAATTTCTCTATTAATTGAGACGATTTCACAGTCGACCTGAGCTTGGCCATTTGCTACAAACTTTTCGACTTAATCTTTTATAGAAGTGGGTTTGAGCTTGTTGTCGCAACTTGGTCTTGTCGTCAGGGCGACTTAGTAGAACGCACCTAGTCCGAAGTTGTCTGTCATGGTAGTTTTCATGATTCCCAGCATCAGACAGTGGACTTGGTACATTCTCAAACGTATCGTCGGCATTATCAGTGAGTTTTGCCATTCTACGCACCAAGCTACGAACTCGTCAAAGAGACAAGGGAAGTCAATCCTTCCACCTGACAATAAGACCAAGTTGCGACAACGAGGTCAACCCACTTCTATAAATCAAAAGAAGGCTGCGACCATACCAGAGGACACAACATCTTGGTATTCATATCTTCAATTAATCTTTTATATTTCATTTATAAGTTGGTTTTCGAGACTACCAAAATATTATATATGTGAGGTGTATTCACTCTGTAATTAAGGGTGAAAAAGGGACTGGTAGATGCTTAGTCCTGTAAAGTGATTTAAAACTGGAATAAACATTATGAAAATGGGATATTCAAAGAGCTTACCCGCCTATGTTTGCGAAGTGAAAAATTGGATTTTTCTGGAGTTTATTGCATGAAATGCACTGTTTGTAAACTTCTTTTTTTAACGAGTTGTAGTGTGGTGCTAAGAGTGGCCATGTTCACTGGCGATGCCGGCGAAACGTCTATGAATGTACTAAGTTTAGGTTACGACTCCAGAAATTATCATGCATACTATGGGCTATGGACTAGGTGTGTTCCTTTAGGTCTTCCTACCAATATGACCAAGTTGCGAAAACAAACTAAACAATTTCTTTACAACGAAAGGAGACTGACCATATTAAAGGTCACATCATCTTGTTCTTCATACCTTCTGTTGATAACCTTGTTGAAAGAAATCTAATAGACCGAATCTTAAGAGAATAAAGAATTTGCGAAAAAATTTCTTGTTCTTTAAGCAAACTCTTAATAAAACAAGAATCATCAAAAGCAGACTTATGGATAAAGGGTGTGATCGAGCACTTGAGGCTGTTCCTGAGCTCTAATGCCTAAATTGTAACAGTTCGTTGACAAAGCCACTTTATTTTACTTAATTTTTGAGGAAATAATTGGATCTTCAGGAACATGAAGAATAATTCGATAAGAATCTAAGTAATTTTAAAATCGAAAGAGCTAACTCTGATCTGTAATTACGGCACAAGGGTGGGAACGAATGCAAGAATGAAATGTATTGTATGATTAAAAAGAAACACATTTTAGGAATGGACTTCATCTGTCTCTTTATCAAGTCGTAGATCGCCAGGTCACATTAGCGATATTGAATGGACCAAGTTCACATTCCAATGCTGGAAATTATGATGCTTAAAATGTAGTTGGACTCAAAATAATGTTTCTTCTTTGAAATCGCCCTGACAAAATGACAAAGTTATGAAAACGAAGTCAAATCCGGTCTATTCTGCGCAAGGCCACGTTAACTCAAGTAGAAGTCACACAATCTTGGTCTTCTTACCTTGTATTCGTTGACCTATAAAATATTATGCAGGTATTAGCTTGTCATTTGAGACATGCTAGATATATTTGAATATTTTTTAAAGAAGCTCATCCCACTCTAAATGCCAGAGCAAATTCATGATCTTAAACTTGCAGATTTTCAATTTAAGTACGTAAGCTAAAGAGCCTTTTGATCTTTAAATTGGTCTAATTAAAATCATTTCTTAGTTGAAATATACTTTTCTGTTTATTCTTAATAAAAAATTTCTATATTAAACTCACAAATTGACTAATTTATTTTTGGTCGAATCTCCAAAGTAAGCAGTGTTTAATTGATGGTATGACGACCAAAATGGTGTGACCTTTATTATGGTCACGGTCTCCTTTCGTTGTATAGAAGTTGTTTGATCTTGTCTTCGCAGCTTGATCATATTGGTGAGAAGACTTAGAAGAACGCATCTAGTCCGTAGTCCATTGTATGCATGACAATTTCCAGAGTCGGGACGTGGATATGATACATTCCCAAACGTTTCGCCGGCATCTTAGTGGGCATCGTCAGTGAGTCTTGCAATTCTTAGCGCCACACTACAACTCGTCAAAGAGGCGAGTGAATTCGATCATTTGGGCAATTGTCTGCTAAGCAGTTGTGGTATCTCTTTTTGTGTCCTGATCTATTTACCTATCCTATATCCTGTAACGCCTCTTCACTATCACTATTGCTTACTTGCTTTTATAAGCATAGTCTAAATGTGTCCATTTGAGCGGATTTAGTGAGACCTATTCTCACTCCTCGTTGGTCCCCACACTTCCCCACTGTGCTGGAAGTATTACTCCAAGACTTTCGTTTATTCCGCACTCCTCTTCCTCCATTTCCTATCAGATTTTCTCTTTTGCTTCTTATGATACTTCCATAATCTGATTGTTTCAGTGATTGCATTTTATCGCTGCCATTATCCCTGCTATTTAAGACGTTTGTTCTACATTCTGTCTCAAGCCTTTGATAATGCCTATACTCCATCTCTACTGAGCAAGCTCCCAAAGTCTGGATTCTCAAGTAGCTTGAAAACCTAACTTGACGCTTTAGATTCCCTTATCAATATTCAGTATTTTCAGCGAATAAATCTCGTGCTATCAACGGCTTGAGGCAGAGTGTTGAATGTAACGTTTCGAGATGCACGGATATAATGGCAGCGATCGTATCGAATCACTTAAATTATAGGAATGTACTAAGTCCATGATCCAGCTGTGAAAATTATCATGCATTCTTTTGAACTCAGGACAAGGTGCGTTACTCTAGGTTTTTCTACCAATATGATCATGTTATGAAAACAGAGTTAAACAACTTCTAAGCCTTAGATATTTGAATCTTTGTTAATCCATACGCACAGAAATAAATGTAGCCTAGAAGAGCAAGTTGGTAAAATTCATAGGAACCACGACGATTCGCTGTTCTCCTAAAATGCAATCTAGTCTAAATAGGGAAGAATATTCCCCCTAAGATAAAATTTAGGACATAAAGCCAGTCCTGGTCATCATTACTAAAGACAAGTTCAATTTACTGTTGGAGTACCTTTCATTTCATTTGAAGACGTGAGTGGAAGGAATTTTTATGTACATAAACACAACATCAAAACTTAGTAGCCTATCCTCCTGAAAGTGTCTGTTGATCAAGCAATTTCACAAACTCATAAGAATTTTTTACTGAATATTGTCAACAATTGACAGTTTTCCTTAGTTGCATGCGTAGAAAACGTGAGATTTTATGCATCACGCTTCCTTTATTATTTACAATTAATCTTAGCGGGCACCCTCCTTGTGAATTTTAGGGAGATCGTAAGCCGTGGACGCCCTTGCATCTCTATGAAGCAGTAAATTCATTTTCCACTTCTCCATTTCTCCATTATTTACGCATACCTTAAGGGCATCTTTTAGCCTGACTGTAAGTTTTTCTGTTGGATCTCTCAATAAAGGCATATACGTTTCAGTGTCATTTAAATGACCTAACATTTTTTCAGCATAACTTGTCTTATCCATCACTTAAACTGCTCCATCCGCTTTCATAAAGAAAACTAGATTAAAATATGGCGTTTGCGTAAGTAATGAGGAAATGGAGAAGTTGAAAATGAATTCATAAATCGAGAGAGATGCAACAGCTTACGGTCTCTTAAAGATTCACGAGGAGGGTATTCCTCTAAGATTAATTGCAAATAATGAAGGAAGTGTGATGCATAAAATCTCACGTTTCTTATTCATACAACCAAGAAAAGCTGATAAACTTTTGACACTTTTCAGTAAAAAATTCTTAAAGAGCTTGTCAAATTGATTGATCAGCAGACAATTTTAGAGGAGGACAGGCTAGTAGATTTTGATGTTGCGTCTATGTACACAAACATTCCTGTTCAAGGAGCTATTAAAAGCTCTGATACAAATTCTAGAGGAGCATCCAAAGGTAGAACAAGGAATAAGACTAAGTGTAGCTTCAATAATTAAACTTACGTATCCATGAGTAGACATATTTTACCTTCGATGGTAAGTTGTACGAACAAACACAAGGACCAGCGATGGGATTTTGCTTGGCTCCCATCTTGGCGAACAATTATGTGGCAAGATTAGAGGAACACTTCCTGCAAGAGGCAATACTAACCCTCAAATTGTCGGTTAGATACATGGATGACTATTTTGTCATCTGGCCTCATGGTGAGGACTGTTTAAGTAGTTTTCTACTTTCACTCAACCAGCGTGAAAAGAATATTAGGTTTACGATGGAAATGAAAGAGAATAAGTCCCTACCTTTTCTGGATGTTCTCATCATTAGAGAAGAAGGTAGATTAAGAAAAGATGTTTATAAGAAGCCAATATATTTTGGCTCTTTGCTTAATTTTTTTTCCACCCATAGTTACAAGACTAAGGTTGGAATTTTGAAATCAATGATTTTTAGAAGTATGAGGCTAGCGGATAGCAAA